CAACACATCCCTGTTACTGCAGGGATATAAATTTAGCCTGACTGTAACCCCACCATGTAGAATACTGGAAGTTTTATGAATCAGTGGACATGAGACCAAATCAAGCTTATATTTACAATATCCATCACAGTTAGCATCTAGGTAAGACATACAAGAAAATCAAAGGTACAGAACAAGAACAAAATATTTTGTATGTAGCAAGAGGATAAACCTCACAGAAACATAAAAAGGTAAGAAGAAAGCTAGCAATGAACAGAACAAGCACCACTTTGTAGCTCTGCCAGCAGCCCTTTAACACATGCACACTGTCCCTCCTTCCCTCCCTTCTGGGAATTGCCACCCAGGGGAACCATCATCTATGATCAGAGAACAGCAGTGGTCATTCCCTGCACACCTACTACTGTCCTGAGCGATAACTCCCCATAGCGTCCATCTCAGGATACTGCTCTTGAGGCTCAATGACCTGGTCTCATGCTCACCACCACCACTACACCTGCATTTCTAGGGCAAAGGAGGAGGCAGTTAGGGGGCCTGCAGTCTTCCAGGAGAACAAGAGAAGCCCCTTCACTTGTCAGCAGCAGCAAAGCATTAGGTTAAAGACCTAAGCTACTCTTTAGAAAACGCCAATACAACTAATGACAGCTACATAAGACTCGCAGACTGTCACTGTACAGATGTACACTACTTCATCCAGAGGCATTCTCAAGGCACCAACAAACTGCGCTGTGCACCTACTGCTGAATATATCCAAGGGTGACTTCCTATGCAGGAATGTACTCTCCATCCTGTCCTACCAAAACAAGGTAAAAATTACGTTAAAAGCAAGAGAACAAAAATCCCACCAACAAAACAATCTGGTGGAGCAGCATTTAATACAGGTATGCATTTCATACTGCCTAAGCAGCTTACACAGGTTTCTGGCTTCCCCATTTCACTACTCTGTGATGCAGAATGGCCCAGATTTCCATGACAATATACACCTGTGTGCTGGGAGAAGATGCAAAGATAACCCATACAGGAACCAAGATGGCACTCAAGATGAACAGGCCAAAAGCCAAGACATACACAAACCACGAGCTCCTCCTTCCCCAGCACCCTAATTTAAATACCTCCAGAAAGAACAGCGTTTATCTACGCTGGCACCCCTGAGTCATTATCCAAACCCACCAATCGACCGAGGCTGAGCCCCGCTTGCACTCCCGGGCTGAGAGGATAAGGCAGGGACCTAGGGGACCGGTTCGGGGGAACCGAGGCCTTGCCCTTGCCAGGGTCGGGAGTCCCGGAACGACCCCGGGACACGGTTCCGACCGCTCTGAGGCGGGAGCGCACACCAGCCCAGTCAAGGGAGACAAGCGCGACGCCGACTATGCCTGCAGCCACGGGGATCCTCTATAGTGAGGGGTTACGGAGGAGTAAGGCGGAGAGAGGAAAACCCTCGGCCGGCGGAGGAAGGGAAGAAACGGGCGGCCCGGCCGGCTCCTCCGCCCCCCGCGGGCCCCCTGCCGCCCCGCACTCGCCCGGGCCAGCAGCCGGGTCCCGGCCCCTGCCACGGCGCGGGCAGCGCAGCCGCTTACCGGCGGGAGCAGCAGGCCGCAGAGCACGGCCCACAGCAGCCCGACGGCCCTCATCTTCCTCAGCCGCCGCCGCCGCCACCCGCTCGGGGAAGGGCCTCGGCTGGGCTCGGGCTCCCCGCGCCCGCCACGGAGCCTTTCACCGCCACCGGCTCCCGGAGAGGCGCCACTTCCTCTTCCGGCCACCGCGAACAGGGGGCCGGCCGATGCTGCTGCTGCTGCCGCCGCAGCCGGCAGCGCGGCCCCCCCTTCGCCTCCGCGCGGGGTCTCCTGGCCTCCGCCACAGGGCGGCGCTCCCGGAGAGGCGGCCCGCGGGAAGAGCTGCCCGACCCTCCTGTGTTGCAGGGAGGGAGAGAAGGGACCTAGAGTGAGGAGAGCTGGGGCCTGAGAGCAGTTCTGCCGACAGCAAGGGCCTTGCCCTGCCCACCCAGCCGCTGGGTCTCCTTTTGCCTTGTGCTTTCGCTGAGGTTTTTTTGTCAGCCTGTCAGGTTTTCCACCACGATGTGCGGGTTTTCAGGTTTATGCTGCCTGGAACCCTTCACAGCTATTACAAATACGAGGAAACAGTCGGTTTTGCCTCAGACAAATCTGAGTGTTTCTGGGTGATCAGGCAGAGATGCAAAGCCAGGAGAGATATGGCAGTGGTATGTCTTCAGCAAGAGCAAAAAGTACAAGAAACAGCAAAACGTGACTTAAAACAAAAGATTGAGGGCGTTGCCTTGTGCGTTTTGAAAACAAAAGCATTTCAGAGATGTCTTCCAGGCTTTGAGAACACTGAAAGGGCTGTGATGCATCACATGTAAGAGCAATGATTTACAGGAAGGAGACGGACTGAAACAGCTCCGTGATTTACCAGCTGAGGAAGTTGTGCAACATCTTTCACTGGAGGTTCCCAAGCGTTGGTTACGCTGTCCCTGCCGGGTCCCTCCAGAAGGGCCTGGGCCTGCCTCAAGAACAGCGTGCAGGGAGAGTGGCAGAGGTGAAGAAACGTTGGAGAAAGGAGATGATGTACACACAGACAAGATGGCGGAGGTGTGAGGGAAAAGGGAGATGTAAGAGGGCGGGAGCTGAGCTGCAGCCCAGCGTTAGTGAATCAAAGTAATTGATTCAGTAAATGAAAGCCTTCAGTGGGTAACCCGCTTGCTGGAGTTGCTCACAAACTAAGTGGTTAGTAGTTATTCCTGCTGAGGAAGGAGGTTCCTGCATGCGTGGTTTTCCCTCTGTGTGAATTAGAGGACAAAGCCATGTAGAACTTGTACAGGCAACATTCCCCACTGCACTATGACAGATTTTCAGTAAGCTGTTGCGGTAAAGATCTGAGTAGCATTTACATACCTTCAAATAAGTAGTGTTGTGATCAATATTTTGATGATAACAGGCAAGTTGTTTTTTTTTTCCGCCAGTGACAATCTTTGTGTCCACAACAGAACAGCCTTACGTATCTTACAGATTTGCTAGGTTGCCAAAGTATGCCCAACAATTTTATGTACTTAAATAGTGAAAGATAGTGGCACAGCATGACACAGCTAGTAATTCATATTCCATGCAGAACTGGTATTTAAAAAAATGGCTAGTACATTGTCCATCTGAGTGTTTCTATTTTGGTGCTGTTACTAGAGTAACCATGACACTTTCTGCCAACTACTGTCTCTTCTGAATCTAACAAGATCTAGATGACAGATTAATACAGATTACATCAATGAATCTATTAATTCTGTGATGCGTAAAGAGCTGAGAGTATGTACATGACAGTGTATTTTGGGCATGGAAAAAGTATTTAACCTGAATTGCAAGTGCAAGAGCTGCTCACAGGATCAGGTTCCACAGTGCCATGTCCTCCCCTACAAAATACTAATCCTTCTCCTTGTGTTCCCCAGCAAAGCACAGCAAGTTTGTTACGTCTGCAGCTGAAAGAAAAATAAAGGAAAAAAAAAAGAAAAAAAAAGAAAGAAAAGAAGAAGAAAAAAAAAACAACCAAGGAGAAATACTGGGTACAATTTCCTTTCATTTAAAGGAATTTTGAATGTTTAAAGGTATTGTGTAAACATTTCTTACATTAAACACATACCCCACAGTCCAGCAGCCCTGTTCTCACTAGAAATACCTGCATTGAAGAGCCCTAGGGTTAGTTCAGAACATGGGCAACTCATATTCAGGACATCAGTAGAAATTTCTTAGGCCATCTTTATTGGCAACTTAAGTAGCCCCTGATTTTTACCATTAGCTTTACTGCGTAACCAAAACTAAAATCAGATGATTTAGTCTCAAATTTCAGCACCTTCATTTGAGACCTTCAGAGCCTGAAGAATGTCTCAAAGCCCAAAGACTTTCAATTTGGAATGAGCAATATAGCTTCTACCCATAATCAGTGTAATAAAGTCTGTAACTCAACTCAGGCATAAGCAATAAGAAACAGAGGTGTTTAATGAGCACATTAGTGAGTGGAAACTGAAGCTAAATAGCCATTAGCACAGAAAATAAACCGCTTGAATAATGCTATACATCCTTTTCAAAGGGTTAATTAAATTATCCTTATTATCCTTTCCTTCCCCCTGCCTGTTTATTGCTGCATAAACACACAAATAATTTGACACAGAAGGAAAGACATCAAAAGGCCTTCCATTCCAAGGCCGTTCTCCTGACTCTCATTGCAGTAAGTGCTACTTTATGTTTTTTTCATATTTATCAGCCTCTTGGCTTTTGAGTAAACTCATCCCAGGCCATCTGCCTTTTTCTGTTCCTTTCCCTCTATCTCCTTATGCAATCAAATTTGCTCTTCCATTAGCTTAACTGTGAATTACTGTCTAATTCTGTTAAATTTGCATAAAATACCATAACAGAAAATAATTGCCTTGTTAGGAAGTCAGATTTGGAAGGGTGGCTATCAGCACTAGTATTTAAAAGAAAACATACTGCATAATTTTTAAAGGTCTAAGATTGTAAAAGGGACAATTATCTGGTCATAAACAGTAATGTCATATACAAATCAGTAAAGAGGAGATCTGGGGTTCATAAACCAATACACAGATTTCAAAAGGATGAAACAATTATTACTATGTTTAATTAATTTCTAAGTACTAAGAGAAAGCATTGTCCCAAATACTAAATCTATTTCTAAGAAATTTAGGAAGTGATGGAGAAGTTGAGTAGAAAAAAGCAGATGGCAAAGGAAGTGGTTTAACAAAAAAAAATTTTATCCCATCCCATAAACCATTTTTTTCAGAGCTTCATATTTCACAGCTTTTTGGCTGAAGCTTAGAACAAGACAGCAAAATAATGCTGTGAAACCTCTTGATTGAAGTGACACAGGGAACACTGTTACTGGAACCTGCTGTCTCTGTGAGACATATGGCAAAGATGAGGACATGTGCAACAGCCTCATGGAACCTGTCTTTCCTGGCAATAAAATAATCCAAAATATAGAAAGACTGGTATTTAAGAATTATTTATTAATATAAACACATGTCTAGCAACTTTTCCCCATGTACTAACAGCCTTATATGAAAACCAGTAAATACCAATCTGTGCATGAGATACCCGACTTCACTGGATATTATGCAGCAGAGAGAATAACCAATTCAAACGCATTTTCAAAGGTGATGTTTAAAGTAGTTGAAAGAAACTAGTGAAAGCCTTCCTCATATGGCATTATGCAGCAAAGTCACATTAGCATGCATTAACGAAGGACTATAAGCCTTACTTCTCAATTACATTTTCAAGCTTGTATCACACCCTCAAAGGTATTGAGTCAGTTTTTAATATTTTCTCGTGGTAGAGACTGCCAGGGTAAATGTGGGTAATTGCATTTAAAAGGATGTTACTTTCACCATTAACATGCAGCTTCAGCTCGTATTGAAACTGGACTTTCAAACTTACATATATTAGATTGATTTTTAAAAAATAGATTTCTCTCTAGAATGAGTGCCATTGTTTTGCCTGATCTATGAATCCTTCATTTTGGGCAGCTCACTGTGAAGAGAATAATTAGATTAATTACTGGTTATCAGTATAGTCTTCATTCACCTTTAGGCTCAGCTCAAGTCAGTTATGTAAAGTGTACATGTTTGTCTTAAGCACCAGCAAGATCAGATGCATGTAAATACACTATTTTATATATATATATAAAATTAATCCTGTAACCAAAGACTTTTTCTAGCTCTTTGATGAAGAATCTAAAATTAATTAGTCATCCACTTTAGAGGCCAATGTCAGCCTTAAAAACACACCAAATTCTCTCTTGGTAGTTTAAATGTAGATTTTAAGTCAAGTTTTTGTAAAACACTTCCAGTAAGCCAGCACAATCATACTAATTTCAGTTTAAAAGAATGGATTATTTCCTTCCATGTTACTTAAGATGAAGGTCCAAATATATACATATATATTAAAACATATATATTAAACCAGTAAAAGACATAATTCAACTCTTTTTTTTTTCCACTCCTGAATTAGGGTAGGCCCTTAGTAATAACTACTTTGATTTTGTTCAGTTTGGATGTATATGCAAATATCTGAGGAAACTTAAAATTTGTTACAAAGAGAATATTCTTCCCATTTACATTGTTTTAATAACCAAAAAGGGGGGGGAAGAAGCCCCACAACCAAAACCAAACCCTCACTGAGTAAAGTAGTTTCAGTACAACTTTGTGGCCTTGGTTTCATGAGTAATTTACTGTACAGGTCTCAACAGACACCTCAAAGTTGTTGTTCTTGTCCATCTGTTACTAACGGGACAGCCTAAACAGGATTAAAACTATGTTAAGAGAACTTCCTCCCACTGGAGCTACGCTTTTGGCCATATTAATAGGATGTGCAGAAACAATAGGATTTTGGCCATATTAATAGGATGTGCAGAAACAGGATATATGGAACAAGGACAATCACAAGGCATTCAGTAGCCATACTGCAATGCTTGATGAGCCAGTGAGGGCTAGGTTTGGGTGGTGCAGAGGCCAAAGCAAACCATGTTATTGTACACCCCAATCTCCCTGAAAGGACACATTTTATTTTAACATGAGTTTGCTCATCTGTAAGTTTCCAGGGGAAGACAGCAGTCCTATTTCAGTATCAAGAACCTCAGGTTATGAGCTATTTTGGCACAAGAACACATACTAGTAATGTCCCTGCCCACTCAGAGTGCTTTCACTATTTTCTTTTGTATTTCCTTTCTCTACATGGCATTGGGAGAAAAGGTCTTGATGGCAGTGTGTAGCCACGGTGAGCTCCTGGCCTCTCAGCCTGCAGAGAGTCCAGGAGAGTGTCACTCAAACCTTCTCAGGTGCACGGAAGCCTTCATGACCTTTCAGCTCCAGCACCTGGAAGCTGAATGTCAGATGGATCTAGTTAACTTCCCTGGAGTTTGGGCAGCATAACAGACTGAATGCTAATATCCTTTTACTACTGCTATTTTGTATTAACTCCAAGGTTTATTTGTTTTGTGTTCCATAAAAAGCAGCCATCTCATCTTCGAAATATAGATGTGGCTTCAGTCTGCAGCTACTGCAACCCAAGCCAGCTTTCTGGGTGGCTCCAGACTTTGTGGAAACAGCTCTGTAGGCCATTGCAGGACAAGGATACTACCATTCATTAAGGTTATATTGGCAATCTCTTGACTCAAAGTCCCAGTTTAGTCATGCATTTAAGTGCCCAATTTCCTCCATGTACTAATTACACACATGTTAGGAGTATTTTCTAATTGATATGAACAAAGCTCTCCTGGGCATTGCAGATAACAGACGCCAACACGCACGTTCTGCTCTCTGCTAGTTCTTCATAAGCATATACCAGATTACCTCTCCACAGCTTCTAAACCTGCCTCACTTGTGGATCTTATCTTTCTGTAGTTTCCCAACTGTAGTTCTGAAGATCCATGAGCCTCTCAGACCACCTTTCCTGGAGTATGAAGAATTAAACAATAACAAAGAGACTTTTTGCTTTCACATAACAAAGTACAAAACTTGCTCAGAGCTGCATGTAGTGGTAAGTTTAACTCCACAGTTTAAGGCTCTGTTGAAGAAACAACAGGCCAGTTCCTAGAGGACCTTTTCTGTACAGGACTAGGAAACTGGTTACGTATACACTGTAACCACATGGATATCAGCAGGAAAACTACTGATGTAAGAAACTAGGGCCTTGTGTGCCACTGAAATTACTGTGGATGAAGAAAGGGCAGTGTGTCTGCAGAAGCCCAAAGACCAACCACTTAGAGCATCTAATACCTTTTCCGTATACTGTCTGCAGGTTTATGCAGCATTATGGGATAGTCAGTAAAGCCTGGCAGGGACATCAAGGATAAGACAGGTAATACTTAAAATAAAACCAAAAAACAGTTACTCCCCCCAACCCCGATTTTTCTTTTCTTTAAACGAAGAAAACAGATGCAGTGCTGAAACTGTGCATATAAAAGACTTGTTCCTGCTCTGCTTGCAAGTGATTTTCCTCCAAAAGGAACAATAAAATGCCATCAAGCCAGAGTAGCCATGCTTCATTGACACATTATCTTGATATAAGGTCTTCACAGCCTACGACATAGATTAAAAAGTTCAATCCTTTGGTCTTATTTACTGTATTTTATTCCAGTCAAGCTCAAAATGCACCAAACTCACAGGCGCATCCCACAATGGAGTAATCTTGCATAAAGCAGACAGAAAAGACTTGATGTAAAATTGTGCTCCCTGGTGGAGAAATTTTATTTTGTGCAATAAAAGCTCAAGCCATGCTGATCCATCACTTAACCAACAGGTTTACAGTGCAGAGAGAAGACCAAGACTTTCTACAATATGAAAAGAATGTGAGTGCATAGTTCAACGTAGTTGTTATAACCAAGATGGGTTTATACTGAATTATGTAACAGGTTACAGCTAGAGAAGGTTTCTAAATATACAACAAAGGAACCCCCCCAAGTCATAAGACATATTTTTACGTTTGGTTAGATTTTAAAAGTAATGCCACTGTTAATGCAGTAGCAAAACATTTCCTTTTAATGATGTGACACTTTAATACGGTCCTATATAATACTACAGAATCTGATGAAAACAGGTGAGTTTTACATCAGATAGTGTTACTTGGTTTATATAACAGGAACTAGGATTCTTTTGTAAATAAGGATTTAATAACGAAATTCTGTTGATTTATTTTAAGAGAGAAAAACTGATATGATAACCAATGCCTTTCTTTCTGGTTATGCAGACACCACTGATCATAAATGTACTGAATGGGTCTTCAGGAAATACTAATTCCTGTTCAGTGGGGTTTCTTACAGTGTTAACAAAACCCATCTATTTTTGTGACAGCTGGGTAGGCATGGACCAGTGAATGCATGAACTCACTTTAATAGCTGCTGAATTTTACTCTACTCTTTACAAACAACTTGGCCACTTTATGCTTCCTCAACAGTATACAGGATTTAGCCGTTTTAAACTCTGTATCTTAACTAGGCTCTTGGAATAAATCTGAAGTTAGAAGACAGAAGTATGAAAGACCTTAAAAGAGCTAACTCATGCTAATTTAAAAATGTATTAAAATTTGGCATGCATTCCAATTCAAGAGTAAGGATCTAGGAAAACATGGATGTTAGATTTCTCTTATGTGGTTGCAGAATGTTATGATTAACTGTTGACTACTACAGAAAGTAACATTCTCTCTCCCTCTTTGGCCCTTTGAGAAGGGTTTTGGGGTTTTTTGAATGCATACAGAAACACAGAGCTACCTTTCATTATTTTAGGTTCCCTGATATAATCGGAAAAGGCAGCCTACTAATTCAGCTAAGGCAGCAGTCTAGATCTAGGAAGTGTCAGAAGCCACAGAGAATCATGCAAGTTAAAAGATTTGCCAGCTGTGTGCGGTTTTAGATGGAAAAAAGTTCATAACTGATCTTATGCCTAGAGCAAGGAGAGAGTTCTGCTGACTTCCACCATAACTGATATGGCAGCAATTTAAACACTGGTATTCAGTTAATCCCATGACAGCAAGCAGATTTCTTAAATTTCTGCCCTGGCAATCACTCAGTTTTGAGCTGGAGAACAGTTGTCAGTGACTGGGTAAAAGAAAAACCCAGCTCTTCTTCAGCTTTTGGTCACCTTTAATAGAAAGGTGAATAAGAGCCAGGTAATAAACTGTAGGTTGGGAACAGCTAAATATTTATGGCTGTTTATTTAAATATTTATGAAGTGCTGGAACTCTGCAAGACACTGTTTCCATTTAATACTCTCCTGCAATTTGTCCTTCACAAGACTGAATCACTTAATCCATACTTTTTGTTTAACTATATGCAAGAACAAAAATCAGTTCATCTGAAAAATAAGAATCTCAAAATCAAGGAGCCAGAAAGACAAGTGAGATATCCCTTAAAGTCCTGTGTAGTTATCATTACAGATAGATAACAGAGAGTGATCTTAGATATGTTTAGTTTAAAATTCAGTAGTAATCATGCAAAACTAACAGTTGTGAGCATGTTGTAGCACCACTTGAAATTAACAGGCAATTTATTATTAATTAGCCCTGTCAGTCATACATTGCATGTATGTATGCATGTCATACAGTGCATGTATGGAAAGGAGACAGCCCAGTAGTTGAGAGAAACGTCTGGTTTCTAAGCCTCAGTTGAGAGTGGGCGTGTTTGCAAAACCTCAATTTTTAGCTACTTAAGTGTTATCACAGCAAAGCAGGAGTTTCACCAGGTTTTGGAGACTCAGCTAACTGCCCATGTTAGAGTTTGCTTCCCATCAAAAAACATTAAAAAAATATCAAAGTACAGCTCAGTAGATTTATGCAGTAGGTTGTTAGCCACCTAAAAACCACACTAAAGTTATATTACAGGCTACAGGATCCCACTTAGCAATTCAGTTTAGCCCATGTAAGAAGTACAGGCATGTGGTACCTTCCAATTAAACTAACCTTGGCATTCCTTGAGGAGAGAAAAAGACACAGACCAAATCCCCAGGCAATTTATCCTGACTTCCAATCCCACCTTGTAACTTTGCAAGTTTTTTGGGACACAGCTAGGAAGTCATGCACAGTGACAAGTTACAGGTGCGACTACAACACTACCAAGACAGACCATTTTAAGGATAACTTACAGTAACTCCTTCAGAAGCTACTACGCAAAGAACACCAAAGCTTGCACTGGCCTATTTAAAACTTGAGAACTCTGCCTACTCCATGGTGAAGAGGTTTTAGAGAATCTGAAAGCACAGTCCAGGGGGTCCTCATAAGACAGAGCAGATTGTGGCCTTCTCAGGGTTTCCTATATCTCAACAGTTGCAGCAGTGCCATTTGTGTAGCCACCTTTAGACTTCATGTGGTCCTGAATTGATACAGCCTAGAAAAAAAAGTTTATTAGAACACACATCTCATAAGGTATGGTTGCCAGAGCAACTAATAAAAGCATTGATTTGAAGAGGCAGGTGAGCCATATGTTTACAGTGCTGGGTTCCAGTGGTGGTAGGAAAAATAACAGCTAAACCCTGGACAGTTAAATACTGGTTTAAGTCAGTGCGTAAAATGGGTCTCGTTATCCCAAATCCATTTATTCTTACATCACTCTGGCAGAGCTTTGACTCCAAGGTGATGTGTTATCTGGACCTACTATCAAGTGCATCCAGAGAATCCTTATTCAAAAGATTCTGATACGTAAAGACTGGGGAAATTAGCACTTCTTGCTGTATGTATTTTCCACAGTATCTTATGTTTACAAACTAAAGGGCAGTTCTGTTCTGATGCTATTCTATTAAGGAAAAAAAAAAAGTAAAAGTCAGTTTCTCTCTCTCAATAATCTAGAGGTTTATTAGCTACCTACTCTACAGGCTACTGAGGGGAGATCTCTGCTTATCCAAGAGGTGCACACTTACTGATGTATAGTCACTACTCATCTCTCCTGCCCCAACATGCGCAGTGTGTACAAAGTTCATTGGTTCTCCTATCATATTCCGGTCCAGTCTCCGGCGCCTCTTCTATAAGAAAGAAGGTACCTTAGGTCTCTATTCTGCAAACGTGAGCAGCTTTCAGACAGATACAAGCAGCTGAGATTAAAAAAAGACAGTGAATACTGACCCCTAATGACTCCTCATGGTAACTGGGCTGAAGTTTCAGCCTTCCTGCAGTAAAACAGAGTTAAATTCTCTTCTATTACTGCTAAATGAATTTTAGCAAAAAACTCTCTTTAATGTTGGAAAGTCAGGGCCTAAGAACTGCAAATATTCCCATGGCCAAACATGGTCTGGTTTATTCTTTTATGTTACTTAGCTCAAACTAATTAAAACAACATGACAGTGAAAGTGTTTTCCACATAACTGAAAGATAACTTCAAATCTGATAATGGATGCGCATCTACCTACCGGCTGGGGCTGTTCACCATTGCACCAGTTAAAACAAAACAGGAATTCAGTCATTATATTTTCAGCAGATAGTAAGGTCTTGTTAAGCACAATTATTTCTCTGGGAGTTAAAGCAGTAGAAGGACCAAGATGCAGTTCCTAAGTAAGTTTAGGAAGGAATTCCTTGTGCAGATTCACTGGTAAAAATCACCCAAAGCATCTGATGAGTTGTCGTGTTCAGCTACTGCTGAACCCAGGACATGAGTAATACCTGCAAAGAGAGTATTAGTTAAATTTATACTAAAATATACTGAAGTCTTGTAACAGTTATTGAGCAATACACATTTTGGAAGACTAAACAAAACTCTAAAAATCTTAAACATACCTGGACAGAAGAGTAGCATAAATTTTAAATCGGTATGTTCATGTCAGGAATCAGGGCTCAGAACTCCGCACATATACTCCCAGGCAGACAGTAGTATAAGGTCTGATTTCGTTACAGAAGAGTAGCAAAAGTAATGCTAGAATTAAGTTAGGTCTTGTATAACAATTTATGATCAGGTTTTAAGCAGAGCTTTGAAGCACAACAGATTGAATGCTTAACATTTACAAACCAGTGCAAAAGAAAGACTTGTTCTTAACATCTAATACAGTTACTCTTCGTAGATACACAAAAGCTCAAAATAAAGGATTTTTTACAACTCCAAAAAAGCCCATAAAAGGGAAAAAAAAAAAAAAAAAGGCAAAAAGCTTTGTACACCAGCAACAGGAACTGTTCATCAGAGCCTAGAGCTTCCCAGAACATATAAAACTATTGACACAGCACTCTTGAACTGGAAACACAACCAGGAAGCTGACTTTAAGTGCCCTGAAGCCATCATAAAAAACTTTATAGTGGTTAAAGAGTACTACTGTCTACCTCCAAATCAAACCCAGGGCTATAGAATAGCCTATCATAACAACTTCTTCATGCCCCAGAGCATTTAAACAATATTATAATGTGTTAATTTATAAAGAAGGTGTGGGGTGTTTTGATAAAGATTACGGCTTAACAGAAGTTACAGCTTCATCAATTCAATCTTCCTGAGGCCCCACTGAAGCCTTCACAACCAACCAATGTAAACTTCTCCTTCACAGGCATTTCTTATGTAGGCCCACAATTACGTAATTAGCAGATCTGTTTCTTTCACCTTAGTGGTTTTCTTCCACTTCATCACTTCTCCCAGTTCAAGCAGATCATTTAAAGTTCTGCCATTTATCTTTCAAAGCATTCTTAGCTTTAGACGGCCTATGCGATATATTATTGCAGAATGTGTCATAAATTACTCTATATTTATCCTTGATGGTCTTAATATAACTCATTATCTGGCTCAGTTACGATTTTTCACCTCATTTCATCCTCTCACAATGGCCTTTATCACCACTGATGCCTTGTTTGGGTGCAGCAAAGAAAGGACAGTGGCTCACAGAACCATGAGGACATAAAGAAGCCAAAGCTTTCACCCACTTCACATTAGTTGCAGATTTTGGGGGTTTATTTCATGCTAAAGAGACTGTATCAAAGCTAAGATTGTCTTGAAAATCATGAAGTATGTCACTATACACAAATAACCTGTTTTGAAAGCAGACTGACTGAGCCGAGCATCAAATTAGATACAGAAACATCCCCACCCAAAAAAAAACCCAGTTCAACGCCTGCTGTCCTCCCACCGTACCCCCAGCATTTGGCCATCCAGCTCCGTGGGGCTCCGAGTGTACCTGGGTGTTACCTGCTGCTCCCAGGAGTCCTGGCAGGGTGGTACCTCCTCATTCAAGCACTGGCACGCAGCCACCTCTGGAGTGTCTTGGCAACTCCAGCGCATCTACAGTTCATATCCCTGGGTTATAATTAATCCTGAGTGCTAAGCAAGAATGCCTCACTGTGATCCTAGATCCTTCACTCTGCAAGATGCCGCAGAAGCCTGCTGTGCACTTCACGCTTTACCTACAGGTGTCAGAAAAGCAGAACGGAAACCAAAAATAGCACCCTGGTTTGGCGTCAGAGCTGTGCAGCCGTGCAGTTTTCCCAGCACTATCCATGCAGCCTGCGGCTCGCTTCCACCCCTGCGGCAGCGCTGCAGGTGTCCTCCTGGCACACAGCACTGCTGGATGTCTTCCTGTTGTGTTTTACACAGAACTGTTCTTTTCCTCTGCATGAGTCAGTGTCATCCTCCAGGACGGGAATGTCTGCGCTGGGGCACAGGACACCACCTTCCTCCTCCAAGGCTCAAGGTTTCCACACGAACTGGAAGAATTTAAAGAACATCTGAATGTGTTTGGGCTTGCTCAGGACTAACAAAAGGCAACCAGAATCCACAAATTGAGGAGAAAACAACATTTTGTCACTGTTGGCACACAGAGTTGAACTGGACAATATCCTGTTGTTCTGTTTTTCACCATAGCAGCAGTATCATTGAGGAGAGAGAGACAAAGGGCCAGGGAAATGGCTAGCACACACAGACACAGATGTGGAATGAGATGGGCAGGATACACAGGCATTCTGGGGTCTGCAGCCTTAAAGTGCCTGAGAGCTTTATGTTTAGATACACTATACTGAGCATAACATTCCATTTGTTCTACCATAGCTGTGTATTTAAAGGTATTCAAAATTTTACTGTATTTTACCCATATCAGTTCCGTAGAAGTGAAAAATGTTTGCCTGAATCAAAACAGAATTCTCCCTTTCCCTAGACATGAGAGGTGCGTGGTAATCTCCATAAATAACCTCACTAAACTTACCTGTTCTTCACAACTGGCCTTTAGACTCAAGGTCTGATCACAACAAATCCTGGACTCCGGGCTGTCAGTGAGTGTTAGCATATGTCAGTCATCACATCGGCAGGCCCAGGCTGCCATCGCCCTTCCCCAGAGGAGTTGTTTAATCACAGGAATTTCTGAGTCCGGTTGTTGTCATTTTCGTTCCAGCTCTGTCAGTGCTGAATTGATGTGAACAGCATTTTTTAGCCTCAGTGCCTTTCCAAAAAAAACACAGTGCTTCTAGTTTGTTCATTATCCCTACTTTGCTTATTTGATATTTATCTCATGTTAAAATCCCGGAACAGTTGTGTGTTTATCTCAATGGCAAGGTGTGGTAAAAACAGTGGAATTTGTATTTTTAGATCAAAAATCAGTTTTAAGCATCAAGCTTGAAGAATGCATCTTGCTTGGTGAAAGGTGAGGAGTAAAAAACAATAAGTGACCAAGATTTTGGAAGAACCTTAGAGCCAAACAGCTGATATCTGTGGTAGAGTGAATTTAACTGCTTGGAAAGAGCATCCCAATTTTACCAGAATTTGGATTTAGTGTGAGATGCATTCCTTAAAACTACATAATAACACTACTATGTAGTATGATTATATATTGGCTTTCTGCCTTTGTGAAGCTTCATGGAAAGCTGAGAATAGGGTTTTACCCTGTGGAGACCTCCATTAGCCTCGGAGTGTTGATATTCTCTGAAGAGATTTGAAACTTCTCCTTTCAAAAGCCAAGTAGACACACACACACACACAAAAACCCCACGCAAACAAAACGCAAAACTCCACCAAGGCAGCTCCTCTTGCAAAGTGGAAATGAGATTAGTCACAAAATGAAAGAAAAATTGCATTTTTCACTAACTGCCCATTCCCCGCCAAAAAAAAAAAAAAAAAGAAAAAAAAAGAAAAGCCAAGAGACCCAATTATGTGTCATTTGGAAGTTAAAAATAACTGCGGGAGAAATGAACTGGAGCCTAACCAGAAGAAAACTAGTAAAAATCACCAGCAGCAGAGAAGCCGGATGGTTGGCACCACACCACCCACTGCTACTGCTGCTGTAAACACCGTGGGGTCAACAAACCGAGGTACCAGTTTGTAAATTACGGAGTTTAATGTTACTAAGAATAAACTGAAATAATAGCAATAAAACCAGGCTGTGACCATGACTCTTCCTTCTTCAGAGGAGGGAAAAAGCTTTCACAACAAGAGGTGTCGTCCCTCAAGCGCAGCAACTGCCGGTCCTGCGGTTTGCAGCAGCCCAGGCTCAAGCAGCTGAGGCACAAACACACCCTCCAAGGAAACGCGTGTGCTCTACAACTGCCCTTGAGAGCGGGGGGTTAGAGCAGACAAACCCCCCGCACCGAGCTCCCCGGCCCGGTTCCCTCATGCCTGTTACAACAAGGACAGGCCGTGACCTTGGCCGCGGGATGCAGCGCATCAGCCGCGGTTTGCTCTGCAGAGCTGCACGGCTCCCCCTGACCCGGAGCAGCCGGTGCGGCGCGCGCCATCCCCTCGTGCCCTTCCCCCTCCCAGCCACACCACAGGGCAGGCGGTGGCCGCACGGCCCGGCTCCGGGCAGCCGCAGCGCTACGGCGCCGTTTCGCGGGCGAGGCGACGGCTCTAAAACTCGGCCGGTGCTGGAGCGGCTGCCAGGAGCCGCCTGCGGCCGCTCGGACAGGGCCGGTAACGGCTCGGTACGGCCAACAGCCGCCTCGGCGGGACGAGGGCTCGGGCACTGCCCGCAGGGTCCCCGCGCTACCGCGAGCGGTGCCGCAGCCGCTGTACCGGGCCCCGACGGTTGGCGGCGCAGCCTGAGGAGAGCGCGCGCGCTGCAGCCGCCAGAGCCGCCCCTCAGGGCGCGACGCCTCTGCCATTGGTGCAGCTGACACCCCCCCCCGCGAAGCGACGGCCAATGAGCGCCGCCGAACCGCCGCGCCGGAACACTGTCGGGTGTGAGTGAGAGCGCGCTGCCCAATAACCGTAAGGCGTCAGCGTTCTGTGCTTTCCATTGGCTGCAGAGCGATGGCAGCCGCCCAATGGGCGCGCAAGAGCGCGAGGGGAAGCCGCACGCAGGGGGAGCCCGCCTCCCTTTGCGGAGCGCTCCGGCGCGGCGCGGACCAGCTCTGCTGCTGCTCCCTCCTCCTCCGGCCATGGCCTTGCCCGGCAGTTGACGTTTGGCCTTTCCCCTCTCTACCTTCCTCTCCTTTTTCAGCCCTTTTCTCCCCTCTCCCCGGGTCCCGGCTCAGGCACGTAGGCGGCCGGTACCGGAGACACCGGGTCCCCAGTCCCTCTTCCCTCACCACCCCGCCCCTCAGGACCGGGCTGCAGGAGTCGGGCCGGGCGGCTGCCGGACGCGCCATGAACATCATCATCGGCATCGGCGGGTAGGAGCCGCGGGGCGGGCGGCGGCGGGCGGTGATTCTGCTGTGGCGCTGGGCCCTCTCCTCCCCCGCCCTTTCGGTGCTCCTCGTGCCGCAGTGTCGCGAGCGCGGCGGGTGAGGGCGAACGGCCCCGCGCACGTGCCCGGCGCGCTTCCCACGCGCGGTCGCTGTCGCCGCAGGGTCACGAACGGCGGGAAGACCACCCTGACGCGGCGGCTGATGCAGGCCCTGCCCAACTGCAGCGTGGTGCACCAGGACGACTTCTTCAAGGTGAGCGGCGCCAGCCCGCCCGCGGGAAGGCGAGGGGTGACCCCCGCGTGCTTCCGCCCTCGGCGCCTGGCGCCCTGCCCGCCTGCCGCGCTGCCCTGCCCCGCTCCCCTCGGCTCCCCGGCCGCCTGCTGCCGTGCTCGGCTGGGCTGGGGGATAAGCCTGCGCTGTGCTGCGTGCGCTGACTTCACGTTTTCTTTGCTGTGCGGCGTGCTTGTGTTGGTGGGAAGATAGAGAAGCAGGCGACTTTATCTTAGCCTCGTTACTGCTGCTTTTTATCTGCATGCAAAGAAACCTGGTGGAGGGTTAAGATTTCGCTGTGTAGCTTCAGGGGTCGGATCTTGAATCTTACTTTGAAACAAGTAACATGCTTTCCAGTAGCTGTCCTGACCAAAGAGTTTGTTTTCTTATTATTGTTTCAGCCCCAAGATGAAATAGAAGTTGAAGATGGGTTTAAACAGTATGATGGTAAGGCTTTGCTACAGCATTATCAAATTAAAAAAGTTTGTGGTTTTTTTGATGCTTTATGTGCACTGTTTTTGTACCCTGTTATTGCTAGATGATATTAATTACTGCTTAGTAATAGTTGTCTGTTTTGTCTTAGTGATTAGTGCGTTAGACATGGAAGCTATGATGAGTACCATAAATGCTTGGATAAAAAACCCAGTCAAGTTTGAACGTTCTCATGGTATCAACAACACATTGGATGCCCCAATCTTAGAAGATAAGCAGGGAGAAGATGAAACAATCCACATTCTTATTGTTGAAGGCTTCCTCCTTTACACCTACAGGTAATCAGATGTGCCTTCATGTATTTTGCTTTTACGTGATAGGCAAACCTCCAAGGGAATAAAAATACCTTTTCTAAACCGAGAATTAGTAGCTGGTATTGATTACTGCTGAGTGTGGGTGTTACAAGTCTGAAGATGGCTCTAGGTGCAGGAAATGGATGTAGTTTTACTTTTCCATTTCTTGCTGCTAATCAAACAGCTTAGCTGTGCCCAAACGTGTCTTTCAGGCCGCTGATTGATGTGTTCCACCATCGGTACTTCCTTTCCATTCCGTATGAAGAGTGTAAAAGAAGAAGAAGGTGAGTTGCTCTTTCTGGGTTCCCCTGCTAGCCCAATAGCATTTTACCCTCCTCAAGACTGTTTCTCTGAAGCTTTTAGATGAGAAAGGATAAACACTAATGTAACTGCTATGTTAGATTGTAGCTTCCTTCCCCAAACAATCCAAAAGCTTCCTCCCCATCTGTTGTGTACATTTCAAACTATACTGGGGTTCTCTATTGGGCTGTATTGTGGCACACATACACTGTTCTTAATGCAAATGAAACATTAAACTTGAACATATATTTCAGAGGAGTAAGCAGACAGCTGTTTAGCCAAAGCTCTACTTTAAGAGAGGATTATTGATCAATGTTAAGATCAGTCTTCTTAAGAATCCTTTTTGCCTCTGGAACATTTTGGACCCACAGATCAAATTCCAGCTTTTGTGGGTATCTTTGTGCTTGTGGCTTATGGTAAATACTTAACTTTTGATAAGCTCAGGAACTACACGGGGGCTAACAGGCTCAGGTTAGTGTGTAGACAGACTGAATCAACTATCTGTCATGCTCCGGCAGGGGGATTGGACTAGATGATCTTTCGAGGTCCCTTCCAATCTCTAGCATACTGTACTGTGTGTGATCTCCCTGAACTGCAATTACTATGCTAGAGTAACAATGTCTTAATTTATAGTTCAAGGAATTACACTGTACCAGATCCACCTGGATTGTTTGATGGCCATGTTTGGCCTATGTATGTAAAGCACAGGAAGATAATGGAAGATCTTGGAGTTGATGTGGGTAAGTCCTTTAATGACAAAAGCACTTTGGAAAAGATTCCTATAGGAGACTCCTTTTCAAACTGGGATATATGTGCTGGTTAGATGCATGAGAAGAGTTTGAAGCAGGTGGATGGAGGATATTTCTGTGATACCAGTCAAATGCTTGCTCTTTCGGATCTGTTGGTCTTACAGAAACTTTCAGTTATAGCTCCCTTCTTCTACTTTCTTACTTTAAGTGCACTTGAACGGAACAAAATCCAAGGAGGAGCTGTTTAATGATGTGTATGGACAGATCCAGAATAAGATTGAAGAATTACTTAATATGCAGGTACATGTTTATGCTTGTAATTGCAACGCAAAAGTCAATCCTTTTAAAGTCTGTGTCAAAAAGCATAAAGCTGTAACATGTTCATGTGTATCTTTCTGTTTAGAAATAAGCTGCTTCCGATTCTTGAGAGTGAAGATGACTCCTGTTTGCTCCACGCTGCCTACCTGCCTGCCACTAAAGTTCCAGCTTCTATGAAGACTCTCAACTCTTAAATTCGACTTTGTTCAATCTTCCCTTGAAACTGAGTTATACATGGTCATAATTAAAAAGCACTTCCCCTTTGTCTCTCATCTTAATTTGTGCTTCAGTCTCATGGGGCCTCAAATGAACTTAGTCTTTTCCCAGTCATGTTATTAGTTTGTGACAGCAAAACATCATAGTGTGTACCTACGTATTTACCTGTATATACTTAATGTAAATTCTTCCCTTCAATTAACCTGCATTAATTTCTGATCCAACTAACTGGGGATCATCTTGCTGAAGAAAGTGGGTTGATCTTGCTTTTCAAACATGAGACCACAATAGGCTGCTTTCAGGCCATTTTACTAGCATTAAATTCTGTTAAATTCAGTGTACACATTGATCTTGAATGCAGACAATTCAGTTTAAAGTTGGAAAAGATCTTAGATATACAACAGCTTTAAAATTACTGATGTCTCCAGACAATTTCAGTAGTGCTCAGTAGCTTGAGGCAAGTTCATATTCCTGTCTGTGTAGAGAAGTAGTTTAAGGCCTTGGTTTATTTAGAAAAGCAGTGAAAGAATATGAAGGCTTAACCCCTAGTAAGGGAAGAAGTGACTTTAGGACAAAAGCTTGATTTAGGAAAACAGTACGAGGTGGCCCAAGAGGGAAGCTGTGTACTGATCCACTGTGAGAACAGCCCTTGAAAAAGGACTGACCAGGCAGCAGTTACTTGAAGCCCAGATGCATAAGCTTCCTGATAGGAGCTGGTCCTCCCCAGTATCCCCTAGAAATGGAGAAAGTTCCTTCATCAAATTCATGTATGTACTATCAAAGTAGGGTGTGGGGGGGGAGTGTTTTCTGGTTTACTCCCAAAAGATCCTATACTTGCTAAGAGGTGAGTGCTGGGAGTTTGTTTTGGAGAACCTGTGTTTCAGTGAGGTTTTCATTTTGCAAGGGCTGCCAGTCTGTGCAATTCAACCCTTGTCTGGTAACAAAGCCTTGTTACTAGCAAAGTGCCCCAAATACTCAGAAAATGAGGCCTTAGTCACAGTTACCGACTTCTTTTCCAGCAAGGAACTAAGCCAGAACAGGTATCTGTACTTGGGCTTTACCCGAATAATCACAGCAGCTCTACCTGTTCAGGATTCAAATACTTACTTGAGTAGTGCATTCCAATAGAGAAAAGGCATCATATCAGCTTTCATATGGTACATGGTTACTCTCTCCTTACTCTGGTCAAGGGGAAAGGTCTCCAATGGCTGAGCGTTGTAGTCAAATTCTGCTAGAATCACCTTGTTGTAGCCTGTTACTAGCGGGCAGGAAGTATATCCATCGTACTGCAATGAAGAACACCCCTGTTCATTACCCTGAGCAAAGTCTAAATGCCAAGGTATTACAATCCAGATGGTTAGCATTCATATTTCAAAATAAGTTGCTTGGAGGTTTCTGTATGTGTAGCATTAATATCAGCAAATTTGGGAGGCTGCTAAGCCAATTGTGGTTTAATAACCATAATACTAAGCCATGTTATTTCAAATGTAGATTTGTTTAACATGGGTAAAATCAGAACTGACCTAGAAGAGGGCTTTTTGTATTGGTTTTTGTAACCAGAAGAACAGGTGAGCAGTAGATCAGGATGAGAGGTGCTGGTTTTAACAGGTAGTGTGTAAACAGGACCTTGAATCTAGCCACAAGAATTTCCAGAGGATGGCAGGACTATGGTTAATGATATTCAGGTTAGTACCCCAAGGAGTATTAATTCAGAAGCCATAGGTAAAATGAAACCCAAGTCTCAAAGAGAAATCTGAACGTAGTTACAGGCTTAACATCTGTAGTACAAAACCTTCAATTTAACTCCTTAAGAGATCCTATTCTGTGCAGGGGAGGCCAGTTTCAACATTGTACAGAAATAGCACATCTCCAAGGGTTTTCCTGGAGCAGGCATTATAGCAGTCAGGTTTTACTCTAAGTAAGTCTCCTGCATTGGTGAAGAACCCAGACTGATCTGTGTTTAAACTTCTTTCAACTGAGAAGCCAGGGAATTTAATAGAGAATATTTTTAATGGCAGTATCAAGAATATGAATTGTGCAACTAAATTACTATTATACAGCATTTAGCACCCCCTTCCTGCCTTCTGGTTCACACCTTTAGCTGCTTGCAAGACTTCCTGCATGAGAATGGAGAAAACATTTAAGACAACTTCCCTAACACAAGATCTGTAGGTACCTTTTTAGTTGGCAACTGGTTCTTCATTACCAGGGAAATAGTTCTGTCAAGCACTCCAGACTGGGCAGCTACAAAACGATACAAAAGTGTATTAGAGTTTTGTTTCAGGCAGCAATTATTGCCATTACTAGAGCAAACACTGTCAGCCAGGCATTTTGTTGGGCAATTCAGCTGGAATTGAATGTGCATGTCAAATCAGTTTGGAAAGTCCACAGTCCCAGGTAAGAAAAACCAAAAACCTGGAATAATGCTTTAGCCTCACTGTTTCCAACCTGCCAAAGCTCAATAACACTTTAGCTATATGGTTTTAGTCTATGGCCATTCTCCTATATGAAATTATACTTGCTCAATATTCCCCAGCACTAAGGCTCTGGCACACAGAGTTTTGTTTCATTTTGAGCACTGGAAGGAAGGTACTCTAGACCCATTTGCTGGAATAGTTGACTATAGCATTCTTCAGGTTACATGAGGAATATACTGATAACCTTCCTTTCAGTTTTTTAGTTATGAGACTGTATGCCAAAAGTGTTTTATATTGGACCCTGTGGCCACAAGTACAGAACATGCGATTCTTCAACAGTGACTTATCGGTTTGCTGACACGTATGAATGAGCTGCTAAGATAGAGCAGAAAGTTTTGTTACTGAGGGGTGACGGAATGCAAGAGCAGTGTGCTCGTTTCATGCCATTCTGCAGACACAGAAAATGCCATTAGTTCAGTATTTCAGGAGACACGGGTCTTTTACAAAGCTCAAAATAGCTGAAGTCAAGCCCTCGGGAGTAAGAAACTAAAAAAAAAAAACTCACTGTCACTCCCCTACTTCTCATTACACACAAACACACACGTGTGCAACTTCACCTACGGCTGCAGCAGTTTTGGAAGTTGGAAGGTTGGTGCAGTCTCCAATGCCAAACACATTAGGGTACTTTTTATGTTGTAGAGTTTCCTTATCTACATCCACCCAGCCAACTTCATCCGAGACACAACTGTTGACAAGTACATCAGGTGGCCCCATGGGGGGTGTGACATGAAGCATTTCATACTAGAGAGAAAGAAAAGGCACTCAACAGCTAGTTTATCACAGCACATCGTACCTGTGTTCATATGAGGCAATAAGCAGTGTGAAAAGGGCTTTTTTTTTGGGGGGGGGGTTGGTTTGTGGGTGTTTATTGGTTGGGTTTTTTTTAGTACATAGAATGAAAATTTGTCTGCAAATTTGAAGTGCACCTTTTTTTTTTTTTACATGAACCTCATCAGGCAACTCCATTTATAAAACACCAATTTCCTGCCTCTATATGCCTCTAGGACACTACTACCAAGTTATACTAACAAGGTGACAGGACTCCAGCCATGTTTTATTAAGTATTTTTTCCTTCCCTCCACCTCAGTTTCAAACTTTTTAATCCTCTACTAAAGTTATAGGTGGTACTCTCAGGAGGGAATGGCAGTATACAAGGAAGTGGGCAGTATGTGTAGATAGTGTGGCAGTTATGTTACAGCAGACAAGGAAACCAAGCAGGACCAAACTAGAGTTCTGAAAGCTCCTGACCTGATAAACTTCAGTCACTCCAGGCTTCTCCAGGTTTTCAAACACAGCTTCCTGCTTGTCTGCTCGAACTTCTATGAGATTGCGTTTATAGTTAACAGTGATGTCCCTCTCCTTTATTATTTCAAGCAATGCATCAGCATACTTCTTAACACCAAAAATGACACCAAGTGAAGTGTTGAACATTATGTTTGCTTTGGACCGTTTTCCTGTCTGCACAGAGAGATCAAATTAGCCTTTTCTATTAAGAAACTGAGATAAGCTAGCAGAGACAAAAGAACTGTGCTGCGCTACTGAAGAGCTGATAGAACTATTAATACAGTTCAATTATTAATGAAGCATTAACGTTAAAACTCTCAGACACAGATGGTTCATGCCATGTTAGAAGCTAGACAAGATAATCTTTGCCTTTTCTGAGTGAAGTACTGAAGACACACCCCCCCCCCCAAATTGCTGTGAGAGGAGGTGGCTGCAATTCACTGAGGAACTGCTGTATGCAGGGTCAGCATGTGTCACTGCTTAGCATTACAGAGCTTTCTGAAATCTCCACTTCTATGCATTATTCAGTAGATAGCTCAGGAAACTTAAACACGTCTGAAGCCTGACACTTGCACTTGAAGCTGTCTTCTATCTACACTAAGCTTGCTCTGACAGCGTGGCTAAGACTCCTCCTGATGCGGATACAGCGCACCATGAGGAGCAAGCAAAGCCATTTTCAGACTAGCAGAAAGACAAATGGCAACAGGTATTAAAGTGCTAAGAATTACATAATCCCAGCCAGCGTTTAAGGCACCAACTGAAGTTATAAATGAGGCCGAGAACAGTTGTATCTGTAGCTCACCAGAAGTAAGGCGAACAGTTCTTTGCTTATGGATTCTGAATTCTAGAAGCTTCTCCAGTATTAAACATATGCTAAATATTTATGTATGGTTCAGTTTCCTGCATTTATTGTACCTTACTGATAGAAAAAGCAACTCAGTCACTTTAATAATCCTGTGTCACATTCCCCCTGTGTGTTCTTCCTTTATTTTAAAGACAATATGAACCCCTTAGAACAAGCCTGGATTCCAACTGTGGGAACAAGCAATGGCAGAAAGAGTAAAATACTTACTTTCCTCCAGTAGGCCTCTGATAAATACATGATCTTCTGAGGAGCCCCTGCACACTTCACTGGAGTGTTTGGAAAAGTGAAGATAGCATTTCCCTCCTTAAAATCTTGTACAGCTTTCCATGTTTTCTCTACTGTATCCAGTGAATAATTGGAACCTATTTTAGGGTGATGAAAACCTTCAGGCAAGCCTTTGATCTAAGAAAATGAAATTATGGATTGCAGAATTTTGTCATCATCATCAAGGCTTAAGAAACAGCTATTTAAGAAGCCTCTAGCAAAAAGAAAGCCCATACATACTTGCTAGTTGGCATTTTTCAAAAGAATCAATCAAACAGGTATTTCCATTAGAATTTAGTAGATGATTCAGTAGATGCAACATTTACTGAAATGATACTGATCTGCAGCATTTGTGGCATTAAGAGTTCAGTGCAAACCCAGACCCATGTTTTTGTAGACTACTGCATGAAATTCAGAGTAAGAGTATATAAAGTCACTGTCAAATCACTGTAAGTAAAAATTGTGTGTAAAAAAAAAAAGGCATCATGAAAATTTATCAGCTGAACAAGACTTTTCCATATTCAGTTGCAGATACCTGTATTTTCTAGGGTTTTAACTGTCTCCATTAGTTATTTCCCTATTACTCCTACTACAGTGGAGCAGCTGCTTGTTAGAAAGGGAGTCATCCTCATTTCAAAATAATGATTGCAGAAATTCTATGAGACAGAGTCATGTTACATGCACTGCAGTGTGTTTGGGAAGTTACAGTCGACCCCAGGAAGTGTGCTGTCGGTGAAGACAAGGAAGAGAAACCATCTCTCTTCTTACACTGGCCACTTTCATTTTAAAGCCACATAAACCCGTTACTGTGAATTTTATTCACAACAAACTAATGGTGATTACTTCTACTACTGAATACTGGATATAGTTTTATCAGGTTGTACTCAAGAGATACCTGTGAAGACTGAGAGGATCACTGAACACAATGAAGCCTCTCAACTCCACTGACCTAATCACCAGATAAATTCTAGATCACCACATCCGATTAACTAAGACTAGCTCTTGCTTTACATGTGCCTTGGGAGCTTTTCAAAGAGATAATCAAATACATTATCAGTACTACATCATATTCAGCTCAGGTTAAAACCATGAGAGTTAAATCACTCAAACATCTTGCCTTTGTGTTTTCCTCTTCCTATCTATGTCCATGGTCATTCTTGTGCCATACAATGGTATTAACATTTTCCTGAGTGCATAAAGTGTACAGGAAACCTAATAGACAGGAAGGGCCCAAGGGCCTATTTAATCACAAGCATGATAACTCAGCCAGTTCCTTTTGAAGTGTATCTTTTAAGAAAGATGAGGGTGAGCCAAACTAATTCTGTAGGACAGATTTTACTGACTGCTATCGGTTTCTCACTTCAGTTGACATTATAGATGCTTCGGACTACAGTCATCATACTCATTATTACAGGCTGCCTTTAAATTCTAGATTGAACTTGTTGTCCTGTCTGCTGATATTGCTAGAGATGCAACAAAGATGTCTTAAAAGACCTTTGGAAGGGCAATTCAGGTTATTAGAGAGACATCTGTGGAAGGAGCAAAGTCATTAGGCTGTCTCCTGGCTCTTTAATTCATGTTAGCATTCACTATCTTGCAGTAAAAAAAAGTGTATTGAAAAGCCCTTTACTTTAGCGACTCATAGGGGTATGTGATGCCATTAAAACTAGAAAAAACATGACTGTAAGACAAATACCTTTTCATAATGCAGACTAATCCCAAGGGCAATTATCAGGTACTTGTAAGATATCTAGCAGAAAGAAAAAAACAAACAACAAAAAACCAAAACACATCTTAGAAAAAGAAACAAAAGTACCTCAGAGCAAGTTGAAGTTATATGACAGCAACAGAGCCATAAGGGAAGGATACACAAAGAGCATTAGTAACATAAATGTTAAGCTCTATAACTATTTTTATAGTTAAAATGCTAACTGCATTATGAGTTACAGAGTCTATGTTATACATAAAACCAAGTGTTCGGAGCAAAATATTCTCTCTTTTGTGTTCGGCTCACCTATAGGCAAGGAAAAGACTCACAATAATGATATTTTACGTTGATTCTAATGCAGTTATCTATAACATTTTTTTATTTTTTTTTTAGAAACATATTTTAGGATTAAGTACTTCTGATAACACGAAGTGCGATTTCCTGGCCTTCTAGATGCTGGGGGAAGGCCTTACTCAATAGGCAGTTGCAAGGGGATCTGCAGGAGGTGGACAGACAACTCATGACATAGGATAAGAGACTAACTTTTTTTTTTACATGTTACCTTGCTGCCATTCTCCACATAGACACAGTTCTTATCTGGATCTAATGCTGTAACTCGAGACTGGATCCACTCAACACCTGCCGGCATTACGCTTCCTGTTGGACGCGCAGAAGTTGCTAGCTGCTTTGCACCACCACCAACCAGGGTCCACAGTGGCTGATAGTAATGAGTCTGAAAGAAATGTTCAAATGCACATGTAAGAACTGTTTAAAGGGACTGCAAGGTGAAGGCACGTTACTCCAAATAGGAAACAATGTGCTCTTCACATTGTATTATACTTAACAAAGGAAGCTGAAGAAATGACCGTGAGTTTTGCATTGCAAAGCTGAAAGGATGCATGCACTTCCAACATGGAGCAACAAATATAACATGAAGCCTTTTTAAAGCTGGCCAGTGAGCTTCCTCTCCACAGTTAAAAATGTGTCTGGTTGGAGAAGGATGAGAATCAGACCAATCTGATCACATATGTAACATGCTTATCTTTTTAATGCTAGACAGCAGAGGAAGACTCACCTTACTTGGTTCAACAACAGCCACATTTTCTGCCCCTACTTTCCTCTTCATACGAGCACTCATGGCGATTCCACCAGCACCTCCACCCAACACAAGTACTTCATAGTAATCCTTGGCAGCATACCTGGCTGCCGTATGTAAGCCAAAGGAGCTTGCCTTCTGGATTCCTGGTTTCAGCAGCCATACACTAGGACGGAGACAGGAACAGGAGGACACTATTCCAACTGCTGACATCTTCCAGTAAGCAGGAAGCTACAAGATAAGGAAAGACACCAATAACAATTACAGAAGATGGAATTTATTTATATGCCTGGATTAGTCTTCAGGGCAATAATTATAATGCTCAACCTTTGTTGCAGCCAAACCACTTACTTGGAAATGGACTGTAATCAATTTGGGGGAGAAAAAAAAAGAGAAAAAAAGGTCAATCATTGCCTCTGCAATGAAACTGAAATTTCATAAAAGCAAATGAATCCTAACAAAGCATAAGAACATTTTCTTGTTATTGTGGCAGGAAGGTGTATCCGATCCTGCATCAGAGGCAACGCATGTGCCATAACTCCAGCTGTAATATTACAATCCTGCAGATACGAGCGCCACAAAAAGGAAGAAGATTTTGCTAGGTGTTATAGATCATCAAAACAGTGAACCAAGTAGTCGTGTGGACATACTGAGTGCTGTTCCACTAGCTGCAAGGCATCAGGCAAACACACCATTACATTCCTACTTTAATATTAGGGTGTACCAGCATATGCACACTTCAGACAGACCGACAGACCTCTCAGGTGTGTGAGCCAAGTTCTGTGGTCCTTTAAGCAAGGGCACACATGTTAGTCTATTCTTGCAAGAGAAACAGTGACCCTTAAGCTCGATAAGAAAACAAAGTTCAATGAAACAAAAGTTTACATCTTCCTAAATCTGGGATCCTTGAATACACCCAAAATACTTAGTTCTCTATCCAAAATGACCTCTTAGCTTTTACATCAGTAAAGTAGCTGAAAACAAATGTCAGAAACCCATGCTGCTACAGCAGCAGCCTCTCACCCGAAAAGTGAGAGCCAGAACCCTAAAAGCATAATTTATCTTGACAACTGTAACACTGGATATGCAACTGTGTTGTCTTGAAGACAGTCAGGATTAACCCACGTTTCCCTCCCTCTGGTAGAGTGGACAAGAACTTTTCCTGATCTAAATCCATTGTTCGCACACGCTATCAGTTTTTAGCTTTTCAGTGATAAAACAGGTATAAAGTCATTTTCATACAGTTCCTTATTGTCAATAAAGAATGAGTAAGCACTGTAACCTGAAAAGCAACTTATGTCAAGACTTTCCTGTGTTCTATACCTGCTCCCCTTTGTTTAGTCCCTTGAGGCAAGAATTCCAGCTTTCACCTGAAATAAGAACTCACTTCTGTTACTCATGACTGAGTTTGAAAACTAAGCTAGAAACCTCAAATGTTTTCAAAAAAATCTTCCAAAGTAAGCTTCAAAAATTCTCCACTGTGCTAAATGCAGTCATGCTGATGCAATTCATTCTGCACCTTCACGTGCTATCTGAACTTTTCTCGTCTCTGTATACCCCCAACGTTTTATGAAGTCCCATTATAAATCCCCATGGAACAATTAATTTGGGATAGAAAGGTCAAATCTCAGGTGTACATTGTAAGAACAGTTTTAATCATTTTGTTTTACAGGAACTTCTGGAGATGAACATATTCTTCTCAACCCCTCCTCATTCAAAATAAACCTTCCAGCTCTAGAATAAGTTAGTTTCCCTTTGGAAGCCTCTTTATCAGCTATCTGGAGCAGGCAGTTATATGAAGATGTGGACAGGCAGCTCAAGCGAGGGAGGAAGCTGTTCTACCCTAGAAATAAGAGCTACCTGACAGATATACGTCCTGCTTTCTCCAAGTCAGAGAGAGATGAACTGTGAAGAGCAAGTTTTGCAACTTCCATTTGTGAGACAGTTTTAAGAAGAACACCCTGTTTCTGGAAGCCCATGAATGCAAGATTTTGCTTCCGGTTTAATTAAGCAGGCTCAGAGCCCGCTGGCTCCCAACACAAAGCACGTCCAGACCAAGAGAACAAGACTCCATTTTTGTAATGGAAACTAAGGAATAATTGTCTTCTCTGACCAAATATATTTTGGTCAGAGTAAGTAAGTAAGTAAGCATGCTTGTAAGCATACACAAGATGTACCCCTTAACTAACAGCAGTCAAATTGATCAGAATACAGTATTACATTGCTTCTAAGTTGTTTCAGAGTATACAGAAACAAACCCAAGTGTCATTTGTAGACAGCTATCTTAAAAAAAAGACAACAGCAAAATCCTTCATATTAAACTCCTAAGCTAGACAGCAGCTATATGATCAAGTCAGTCAGCAACACATAAACCCTCCACTTTGAACACTAGAGATAAAGGAACAGAACAAAAATTAAGGTAAAGGGGAAGATACGTAGTTAGCCTACTGAACTGAGCTGAAATCTTAAGCTTGTACAAGACAACACAGAGCACACATTCACCATCCTTTAAATTATGCACAATTGATATTAGCCTCATATAGCATGAAACCACATACATAACGGAGATCCGTACACAAGTCTTAGAGCACTGCCTAGAAAGGTAAAGCCTACAATACACTCCTCTGCCTCAGTGAGGGCTCTGCATCGCCTGAATTCTGCCATTTAAAACTAGGTCTGTCATCAGGTCAAGTTTGGTTCACAAATGCTTTCAAGTCACAGTGGTTTATTACAGCATCAGCAGCTTGTGTAATGCTACTGCAGCACAACTCACCTCACACCACATAAAACCCAGGGTGATGTGACTCACAGTTAATGGACAAAAAAATGTCATCTCTACTAGGGCAGGCAGCACGGCAAAGCTTTCCCCCTCTTCCTTCTTTAAAAACTTTTTTTTTGGTTTCTTTAAAAATCAGACTTAGCTTGCAGGTAGTCAGCAACTGTCACATCTCTATTCATAAATCCCTTTTCTTCCAAGGCTACTTGTTTGCATGCTTTTACAGTAAGTCTGAAGAAAGTGCACTTAAAAAAGAATCAGTTAAGACTGACAAGGAGAGCTCAGTATTATTTGGTGTTTGAATGCCATTGAGCGGGTTAAGGTGGCACAAACATAAATATAGTGACTTTTCAGTTAAAAAAAAACATTGTTTTCCAGTGTTAGCAGATTAAATCCCTTTGAGAGACTGAGAAAACAAACCATAGGAACTACCTTCATTATGCTGTTCATAAAAATAAATTAATGACGCTTCTACAATCATCACAGAGGAAATTAATTGTTTACCAACTTCTTTTAAGCTTTTCTTTAAAGAAGAACCTTGCTGAAAACAACCTGGTTAGATACTACATTACAATTCCATATTTTTGTGTACTTTATCCAATTCCAATCAAAGAAAACAGCAGATTCAACAGAATGGGGTAAGTGTTCCTCATCCAGCCCATAAACAAGCTCAAAGTGTAAAGGTTATCTTTGGCTACAGCTCTCTGTGTATTAACAGCCACAAGTAAATAAAAATCAGCACCTATACAATAAAGACAGGGACAACTCAGAAATAGGATACTGACAAATCACAAAAGAAGTGGTGCATTACAAGCACCAAAATTCCATCTCTTCTCTCATGTACTCACTATGTCCACTAGCTGACCTAACATGGAAGGCACTTTGTCACACTTCATTTTGCAGTGTTACCTACAGACGAGGTGTCACAGAACATCCTCAGATCCAAGGGACACATGCAGAACACCAAGTGTTACAGGCCATTCTCTTGCCAGGTCTATACATTCAAATATCCTTGAGAGGCACAAGTTCTAGTGCCTGAACAAACATTTAACTGAAGCACAACACTTCGTGTATCTATCGTATGCTCAGCTCCCAAGACTGACTACTTCACCGAGCCAGTTTATGAACGATCTATTGCAAGGAGTTAGAACAAAGTTACCAAAGTCTTACTAACAAGAATAAAGATCACTACAACTCCCCCTGAACAGCCGGCCGCAGGTAAGTTTCAATAGTCCACCCTGCACAAACACTCGGCAGCCCCAGCGCGCTAGGGGCCGGCAGCAGCTTGCTTTCCCGCACCGAAGCTCCGCACACGTTTCACACCGGGCTCGCAGCCGCCAGCAGCCCCCGGGCTCACCGCGGGTAGCGCGCCCGGGGCTTCCTGCCCTGCGGCTGCGGCCGCGTCGGACATCCCGAGGGGCGGCGAGCGCAGCCCCGGCGGGCGCTGCCTTTCGCTGAATCAGGCTCTACACCCACGGTGAGGTCCCGCACGGAGCAGCGCCCGCTGCTGCAGGGGACGCAACAGCTGGGAACAGCGACAGGACTCCGTGCACCCGCGACCCGCCGCACCGGGCTCCCAGGAGCCCCGCAGCCGGGGCGCTGCCGCGGCCGCTGCTGGCGGCGCAGAGCCGAGGCCGGCAGTCTGCCCGCGGGCACGGTACAGCGGCCTCCCGTCCCGCGGCCGATGGCCGCCGCCCTCTTCGTCCCGCTCGCCGGCCCCGAGCTGCGGCCCTGCGGCGGCCGCACCCGCACTTGCCTGCCTGTTGTGCCGGCCGCCGAGAAGCAGAGCGGGGGGAAGGAGCGCGCCGCCGCCCCGTGCGCGATACAAGCGGCGAGTACTGTCACCGAGAGCGGCGGGGCGGAGCCCGGCGGCAGCAGGTGCCGCCCGTCCGCCCAGCGGGCCAAAGGGCAGGGCCCGGCCGGGCCATGCTGTGCCGTGCCGCTCACGTTGAGGCACCTGACCTCCCGTTACCGCCCCCCACCGAGGGCTGACACGTTTCAGCACCGCAGCAACCTTGCCCGTGGGCTCAGGTTAGTCTTCTTTTTTCCCCTAAATGTCCTTGCATCTCTAACCCAACTGCCATTCCAGCTTGCTATCTCAAACATCAGCCTGAAGTGTGGACTCCCATCGCATTAAAATACATGAACTACTAAGAAAGAAAAATAAGTCAAAGTATTGGAGTCCTAAGCTGAACTCAGGATGTAACTCACCCGGATACATGGAGAAAGAAGCCTTTCAGTTGCAGAGAGCAGGGCTGCCACCTCTTGTGTCTGTTCACCCAATTGCAGCCCACTGCTGAGCCAAACTTTAAAATGTTTCCCCTGAAAACTTTACTGGGCTTTTGATATATGGCACAGTGATAGTGTGAAGTAAGAACAGCTGTTAATCCACTAAATCATGTTCATAAAGGCAAAAAAAAGTCATGTGAAGATTAGTGCTGAGAGTAACTTACAAAATTACTTGTGCCAACTTGTTTGCACCAAATGACCAACAGATCCGTACCACATGTCAGGCCACTTCCTTCTCAGGCTCAATCTTCCCTCTTGGCAAAAAGTGCCTGCACAGGTAAAACTGCTCAACAGATACACAGCAGAGTGTGGACAGCTATATAGAATGGGGGAAATACGTTGAGTCAAATGGGAAGATACCACAAGGCTGTTCCCCTGTCTGCACACAACGCAAGATGCAGAAAGGAACTACACATTCTACAGGGTGCCTACTGGGAGAGCAGTTTCCCTGTCAGGCCCTGGCACACCCTGTCAGGCTGCATCACACCTGGCATTTCCTAACAAGAACGGCTTCTGTGTCCCAACTCCGCAGCTGCCATTACTTCAGCAGAAGCATGTTGCTGCTCTTCATGGCCAGCCAGTCATGAACGGGCCAGTACTCTCAGCCTGCTTGTGCTCTGTGTTACTTTGAGCTTCTATTTGTAGAAAAGAAGTGGCAGTTGCTTTTCTCAGCTTACAGCTGAAGGCCAAGAATCATAAAGTCAAGCCTGACAATTTACTCTTATCACAGACATTCCCTTCCCTGACAGGTACTGAGGGTGCTGGAGATAAGCCCACAGCACTGAATTACAATGATTCACACTGCCTGTTTGTAAAAACCTGCACTCATTCCCTGTCAGTGGCTATTCTCACAAAAATATATAAAGTCCAAGAAGCAGGTTTAGCCAAAAGATATCATTAATTTTGACAGGAGACAAATCACCCTCTGAGGCACTTCCCAGTATTTAGTAGCTCCATACACGTATGTGAGGTTTCAGTAACACTTCCCACAGCTACTTAGAAATAGCTACACCAGGCTAAAATGTGTAAACATCATAAAAGTAAGAAAGCCAAAGGTCAAAAGACTGCCAAAACAAATTTCCCCCCCTCCACAGCTTGCATAAGGCTTGGCACACCCTACATTAGTTCCACAGAAGATTCATACAGCATTATTCTACATGAAAGCACTGCCACAGAAATAAACCCCCCCTCTCAGTCTAATGCTGTCTCATTTCTCATTTCTGAGTGCCTCTGAAACCAAAATCCTAACACATGTGCTGCTGTACGTTTTGAAATGAGCTTTAACTCCAATCCTAAATCTGGACAGCTGATACTCGACACATGAACATTACCAGGTTACCTGCAAGCAGCAATCCTAAAGATTAATCATTCCTGGGAAGCCTGGAGCATCCACCTCCTGGCACATTAAATACTGACCCTTCCACAGGGCATCATCTACAAGTCTGCCTAGGCTTAGGTTGCAAGTTCTCCAGAATGGGGATTATTCTTCCCTGAAAGTGCCTACCTGATAGTAATCACAATTTCAAATGAATTCTAGTAACACTGGGTGATGCAGAAGGAAAGCAGTAATTGCTTCACATCATCTTTGGTATTTTTCCTTGGGAGATACACTTCCTCTGGCATATCTCTAAATAACAGCATCTGCAAGGCCAACAAAAAGAAGCAGAAGTAAAATAAAAGAAACCCAGTAGCAGCAGAAGCAAACCAGAACAAAAAACACATGGTGTATCAACATGACTTTTACTGGTTTAAAGACTGAGAAACCAGCAAATTCAGCTGAGCACTGAAGAGGTAGGAACACCAAAAAGGTTCTACATCAGGCAGTGGGGTAGAAAAGAGTTCATATTTATTGTTCTGTTCTTTCTCTGACAGGTCGTATTTAATATAGAGGGATATTACTTTTTATGTGAATCCCAGGTGACAGAAGGCTTGCTCATCAAGGCAATAAACTCTATCACTGATTTCCAGATAGTGTTTTGCTGACCAGCACATGTACCGATGGTCCTGTTTTCACAGCAGTGCTGGGATGTATTTTCATTGCAGCATATCAAACAAAATAGATCAGATTTATCTTGTCTTGGATCTTAACATGAATGACAGTGCAAAATTAACTACTTCTGCGAATGACTTCTTTAGAGACTATTGTATTTGCATATGTACACATTTGAAATTACTCTTTATCAAGCTTTAAATTATTTGCTTCATTGAGTTGCAAGTTTGTAAAAGCTGAATACATTTGTTGCAACTGTTCTGATTGCCAAGCAGGGTGTTGCTCTGTTTCCTCTCCTAAACCCCATGAGTTGACACCACAGAGACGAACAGATAGATAGGTGTAAAAGAAAAGGAAATACTGCGTTATCAGGCAGTGCCAACATCTGTACTTTAAAGCTACATGTCATGAATAACACTTAAATCATGGACTTAACTCATAACCCTCTGGGACCATGGCTGACAACACCTCCTGCCTGGCGGACAGTGGTTAAAACTTTTACACCGGCACTGTTGTGACACTGTCAGGCAGAAAGAATAAAGCTGTTCTTCCCAGCTCTAGTTTCAGTTCTATCAGCTACAGGGAGAATATTTGAAAAATTGTATTTGTCAGATCATAAGAGTTCTTGGCTGTGCTGGTATCACAAAGGTCTGTTTTGAAGACATACAGGGGGGGGGGCTGGTGGTGATGTGACTGTCTAGTTTGGGTGCCTGTTTTTCTATAAATCACTCTGTCAAAGACTGAGAACAATAAAATAAGGAGAAGTGTACTTCAAATTACTGGAAAGCAGTGATACTTGTACCAAAATAAACTGTTTATTTCAATTTAAGCTTACACTTTGATTTAAAAATTAATAATCTTTCTACCTTACATGCTGTTTTGCCTCACATGAATAACTATACTGAATAATTTTGCTCCTGTAAATTGTATTCATACAGATTTACATCACTAACGCCAAAACCTGCAAAGTTTTTACCGGTAATTTAGTTATAGTCATACAACTACTCCAAGAAAGATCAAATAACTTAATAGAATTAATGAAGCTTAAAACACAAAAAAAATGACACCTGCAAGGTGAGGCATTAAAGCACCAAGGTGAGAATTAAGAATAGGCAGCAGCACTGCAAAGCAAGCAGCAGGTGGCAGGGCAGAAAGCGTCTACTGAAGGGTAATTCAGAATAAACTGGCCAGAGAACTCTCTCAACTGCTGGAATCCCAACTGAACAGCTATGGAAACAACCTCTATGTTATTATTTATGCTCTTGTCTCTTAGGGCACACAAATAAAACCAAATAAAGTCTTCAGTAGCCTTTTTCCAAAAGGAAACATATTTTATGAACATAGCAAAGGTACCACGATTAGTGAAAAATCCAGATTTCACTGAATTAAAAATTGGCTCATGTAAAGCTGTAAGGCTATACGTGGGGTAACCCAATTTAAGCATCCAGTTTAAGAATAACAAAGATAAGAGCACAGGAAACCAAGATTCCTCAGTTAGCAACAGTAATTTGTAAATTTGTAGTATCTTACAAAATAAAAATTCAGCGTTACCACACAGTTAAGTGTCTTACTTTTACTGCCATGATTTGACAAGCGATTACATTGACCATGAAATAGTATAAAAAGAGACCATTTTAAAACTTATCTGTTTAAAAAGACACAGCTTACCTGTGCTTCCTCATATGCATGGAATAAAAAGTCAGTAACATAATGTCTAAGACTACTACACTGATCTACTAGGATAAGTAGTTTTATTGTAAAATCAAGCAAGACTAAATGTATACACAGTAACAGGAAGACTAAATGTATACTTACTTTAGCTGTGCATATTAATGCTGGCATATCATTTTAGAGGATTATTGTTAAATTAATCCAATGCTGCATTTTATGCATCATGACACGATGTTCTGAAGAACAATATCATATGAAGATAATAAATTGCAGATTTGACTGAAATGATTAATAAAACAAAAAAGTTATGTGAACTGACCAAACACTGCCCCCCCATATATATTAATTTCCCCCTTTATTACGAAAAGGTTATTTAGTAAAATTACTTATTCATACAGAAAACAGATTTTACCACAATGTGAAAAATTACTACATTTTTACGTATGTGATTCCTCAGGCAAGCACTGCCAGCTTGTATTCCTTTGATCAGAAATTATTTCAAAAGGCTGAAATATAAAATTGCAAAGCCATCAATTCCTGTGCTTAAAATTCTCTGTTTTCAGTAAATGTAGCCACAATTTTTGAAACAAAACAACCCCCCCCCCAGTTCTTCACAAAAAGAGACCACCACTTGAAACACTACACTGGGTTCTAGATGAGGGAACCCAAAACAAATACCCCAGAAATTTAATCCCAATTTGGATACTGAGGCATCTAGTTTCACGTTATACATTAGGAGGAACTGTTTAAATTCCCAGAATCTAGTTTTGAAATTAAATTACAAAATAAAATATTGAAATAACATTTAGTTATGTACATTCCACTCCAAAAAGGGACTGTGGGAATTCTGTACATTTCTCTTAGAAACACAAACCGCAGCACACACCAACAATCCACTGGCAATGAACAGACACCAGTCAACTCACAGGAAAAGTACCTGTGAAAAATTTTAATCTATTACTGCTCCTGTAACAGCATTTCAGTGTCTCTTCAGACTACTTCAAGTACTTTGTTCTCCTTGCTCCAAAACATTATCCCAGTTTACCTTTCATGTTGGGTGATTACTCATTAAAGTGTCTTTCACAGAAAAACATGACAAGAACAGGAAATAAGCTCAGAAAATTGCAATACAGAAGAGTGCAAGTAGGTGCACACTGTGTAAAAAAATTGACTGACGCCCTCTGATACCTCACCATAGAGATCTTATGTAAAAGTTTACATGGATTACCCTTCACCTTACTTCAAAACACACCAATTGTACAGTACTAAAAAATAACCACAGATATAAAATAAGCAGTTTCTTAGATTGTAGGAACCAATAGTTTAAGCTCTTTCACCAGTCTAGACAACATGTATTTTCATTTGAATGGGAGCTCACACCAAGTGCTGCAAGAGAGCAATTACATTCAGAGAAAAGGTTATCAGCCTCTATTCCACATGTATCATCAGTACACACTACTAATCGCCAACTTGGGCAAGGACAGTGTAACAGAAATTCTCTTACACAGCCCTGAAGTGCAAGTGAAACATGGGTTAAGGAAAAAAAAACAAACGCAGTAGTTTTCCCTATGGGTAACTGCAACTCATGTGAAGTGGAAATTGTTGCATTTTGGTTGTGTTTTATTTCGTCACACAGAATGAGGAAAATACACCTTCTAATCTTCCAGAAATCTGCATGGACCACACAGTCATCCTGTTGGACCATTACATAAGTAAGAGGTTCTTGGTTTGACTCCAATGTTTGTGGAAGCACAAATTCTTTCCTCTTTGCATTGTGCACAAATCAGTTTTGAGACCTTTAGTGTCCTGCTTCCCTCCCGCACCAATTCAGCTGAGAATTTAATCAGAAGTTACATAAAGCAAAAAAAAGAGAAAGACTGCTGCAGTAAAGTGAGCTTTAAGGGAAATACACTGGAACTTTCTTCAGTTCAGTAGACATAGACCAAACTGAGACTGCACAAAGAGTCAGTACTTATGAACCCAAAGAGATCTCAACTGTGAAATGGGCAGCCACTGAAGTCTGGTGATGAGAACTGAACTTTAACTGGTATTGTGTTGTGTGTATGTGCCAGTCATCAAGAGTATCTCAGAATTCTAAACACAAGAACAACAGATGAAAAAAAAATTATAGGTATTTAGAACTGTGAAGCCCAAATTCCCCTATATACACATAGATATACAAAATTTAACTTACATTATATATCAAACTGCATAATATTACAAAAGAAGGCAACTTGAATGGCTGAAATGAAAAAATCTGCATGTTACCCACCCTATTATTACCATTCTGGACTTTATAATACTAGAAAGTATATTGTTGCTAGTAACAGCTATAGCCTCATTTGAGAGGCATCTGCCGTAATTCCAGAAAATCCAGAAGCTATTAATTCAGAGAGATTGTTGCATGCTCTGCTTTCAAATCCTCCTAGCAGGTTTTGCTGTTAACTGCTTCTCTCTTTCAAGTTCCTTCTCACGTTGCTGTTCTCGTTCTAGTTCTTCCTTCTGCCTCTTTTGTTGCAGCTTCAGTGCTCTTTTCTAAACAGAAAAGACAAGAAAATAATATAACTGTAATAATAATTTATAGCTGTATTTAAGTTGGAGCCACAAACAAAAGCCCTCCCATCCTCTTAACGTTATCTTTTCCAATCCACCCTGCTTATGATTGAATGCTGCATAAACTTCATTTTTTCTTCCTCCCTCCCACTTCTATCTTACTGTTCAAGAATGGCAAATCTGTGACCTACACAGGGAAAATACAAACTGGATTCCCTTCACTCTCACTAGAAGTCATCCTTTGCATACACCAGACAAGGGGCGTATCAGGCAATTTATTGCCTCCCAGAGAAAATCCTTTTGCTGAATGTACCAAAGGACTAATCTTGCCATAATGTAACCAGAGACTGCCTATATAGGATGAAGTCAGTGAATTTATGTCACTGCTGACATTACATTAAAAAGGAAAAATTCTTACATTTATGACAATCTAGTTTTCATTAAAGAGGCACAGAAACTGAAAAAATGAAGAGAACTAGTTGGAATAGAGTGGATTAAGCAAGAGAACAAAGCATGATACTATCTGAACATGACAATGATGCTCAGATTCACTGCTCAAGCACAGGTAGGAGTAAATGAAAGCTTAAAAACATACATGGCTTAGCACCACAGAAAAATTCCACTTTGGTTGATTGAGGATTCTATTTTAATCAGAACTTTCAGTGTGCATCCACAAATCAAAGTCAATAATTCATAAGTAAATAGACATCTAAGTTGGAAAGTAAAAATATTTATCCCACTCACTTTTAGCTTTGTTGTCTTCTCATGGAGCATCATCATTTCATTTCTAATATTCACCAACTTGCTGTGATAGTGTTTAGCTTCTGAAAACTTAAAAAAAACCCATAACCGTTAAAAGCAACAACTGTCAAGTTGGAATAGTTGTTCTATGAAGCTACACAGCAAACAGCAATCAAAACCAGTGATTACCAGAACAGTTTGATAATGGATTAAACATGTTCGTTTATATATAGTTTACATATTACACGTACTATAGAAAATTGCCATATTACAACAGGTACACCCAGTAATCTGCTGGATTAAGACTTGTTAAACAGAATAAAAATATTACCATTTTATGCACCATATACCAGTGTTTCATGCCACCTTCCTGCTAGTCTGGAAAGGTGCACAGAGCTCTTATGGGAGCCTCAGTTCTATTGAAAAATGGCATACCTTTGCTTTGGCTACTAATTTTGGACAACTGGACTTACTACCACTGCCTGAGCCTGCTTTTTTTTTTTTCCCCACTACTCTTCCTATTTAAGGGGAACATGCTGGTTCTGCACCCTCTCCAGCAATAATCTATCCTGAATACCTGAACTGGTTGGTTCTCTTCCTGCAGGTCGTTAAGAAGGAAAAAAACACAAGTTGCTATTAATGCTTCAGCAATAAAATCTACACTAATAGAGATTTAAGAAAGCATTAGTAACACTTACCAAAGCATCGATTTCAAGAATGGAGTTACACTCTTTGAACTTTGAAATCTCCTGTTCTAATGTTTCTAACAATACCACTTGGTTCTGTCTGAAACAAAGAAAAGATGCATAAAACCAAACTAAAGCAGCATATACTCTTTTTTAACCACCCCTTTAAATAAATACAACTTTTGATCACAACAATATAAATACATGTTTCCCAATATCAGATCCCTCTTATGCATTGGTAGGCAATTTCAATAGACATGAGTAAGTGGTCCTAGAAAAATCCCAGCTGAGTACACACAAATTCAGCTGGCATTGTACAGCATGGATATCCAAGATAGATATCCCAAAAACCTGAGCATGCACTCTGCAGGCTGCAGTGAGTAAACACCCTTGGTTGAATGAAGGGAAGAACAATTAGCTCTTGACTTTGCACTTGGGTACTTCTGCATCATGTTGCACGACTAAGTTATTTGATCCTTGGTGCTTATTGAGGATCCTTCACACCACATAAATCAGCTGAAGTCTTTCCAGGCACAGGCTATCTCTGGCAGCAGCATAACCCCATCACGCATTTTGAAACCAAAATCAATATACCCTGCAAAGCCCAAGGAGATAGGTTTAAAGTCCTTTCCAGCATCTCTGCATCCATAGCAGATCCAGCTCATGTTTGAAATAAACTATTCTCACCTATCAGCAAGACGACAACGTACAGAGAACTCTTCCCTCTTTAGCTCCTAAATTATATTCTGTAAGTATATCTTTTGCAACACAGTTTAGAAACAGGACAACAAACAATATACCACACACTACCAGGTGCCCTGAATATGAATTCCATCTCTGAAAGTAAAACAAATCCAGCTTTCAGCAGACTTGCCTCTACAGGAATGTAGAAGGATTTAAGAAATCTATGTGTCTTCTATTATACCTGGCTTAGGAGATTTTAGTGTTCTAACATTACACAAGCTCTGATAGGACACACTGCAGCTTTTACAACTCCAATACTCATGCAAATCACTTAAATATTAAGGATCTATAGTCAGAACACAGAAATGCTTCAATAAGCTATATCCTGCTTAAGGGCAGCTAGAACATTATACTCCAAAAAAACTTGGCAAACAAAGTATGCACATATAACAAGCTGGTTTTACAAACTTGCTTACGTAAGTTCCTGTAGTGCTGATTTTGATCGCTGAAGATCAGGCAGATAATGAGAAAGCAGTCCTTCAGTCAGCTGCTCCACAGCTTTCTCGTCTATCAAAGGCAGATCTTCTACTACCCCTTCATCTGGAGATGCATCACTAGGATCTACACCAAAAAACAGTGACAGGTCAGCATGCACTTAATGTTTCACCTAAAACAGCTGGATTTTCCTGTTTAAAAATTAAAAGCATTTCAACACTGAAGTTATACCTCCTTACGCTTTATCAACTGTGCCTCCTCTTCCTTGTCCTTCTTCATCCCACCCTTGTTCCCAGTCCCATATCATGAACTTCCCAGTGAACAGTTTTCTCTGAACATGAGCAGAGCAAAAAGAGAGAAGAGTGTTCCAAAGACATCTTATGTATATAAAAAACTCCTCCAGTCTACAGAGGAAGAAGAGGGACAGTATCACTCGTTCTGGCCGTGCATCAAGAATACCTAAATGTTAACACACTGCCACCCTTTGCTTTCAAAGTTAGGGAATAAACCAGGCCTGCTGAGTAAAGGTCTTAGCCTGTCACTCAAAACATACTCGGACTTCATCAAAACACCACATACGCTTAACTTTAAAAGTCTGCAAGCATTAGATAATAATTACTGTAAGTTTCGTATGGGCAAACTATGGTTATTTACTACGTGCAGACCTACTGAAGACACAGGACTTCGATCCACAGGCCACACCGCACAGCACAAAAGGAGCCAGTGGCTCCGGAACGCATTCGGTCTCCGGTGCATCCGGCCCCAGCCTTCTGACCTTGCTGTGCTTGGCCGCTCAGCTCTGCCAAGGCCGCCGGCCGCCTGTGGCCCCAGCCCCTCCTCCGACCCTCCGCACCCGCCTTCGCCCGGGGCAGCCCAGCCGCCCCTCACGTACCCAACGAGCGCACGGGGGTGCCCGCGGTCGCCAACACCTTCTCCTCAGGCCGCTCCGCGAGGCTCATCGCTGCCGCACCCTGCCGCAGGGCAGGAGACCGAGTCGAGGCGGTGGCGCAGGGAGCCGCGGGGCTCTAACCGCCGTCACCGAGCAGGATGACTCCGCGCGGGCCTCCTCCCTACCCGGCGCCTCACCATAGAGCTGCCTTAGCGCGCAGCTCACTGGATGGGCCGGATGCGGAAATGAAGCTCGACGGACGCTCGAAGCCCCGGTCCGGGGGCGGGTGCTGCGTCGGGCCGGGCGGAGCCGCCGGTGTCACACACAGAGCTGCCCTGGGGCAATGCGGGTGGGCAGTGGGGGCATGCTCGTGACTGGCGGGGCAGCCGAGGGGAAGAGCCAAAGGGGCAAGTTGGGTGCTCGGCGCAGAGCCCTCCCGGCGGTGGTGGTGCAGTGAGCCGAGCCGAGCCGAGCCGAGGGGAGAGGAGAGGAGGTGGAGGCGACGGCGACCAGCAGCGGCCGGTGGAGTTACGGTGCTGGGGAATAACAGGTCCCGGGCGGTTCGCACAGGGCAAGTCGGCGAGTGCTGCTGCCAAGGGATAAACCCCAACCAACCCCGCTGCAGGGCAGCCCCTCCTGAGGACATGCTGTCTCCTGCTCTGCACACATCTGCGTTCTGTTCTCCAGTAATCATGCAGATTGTTCACTACTTTCAGCTTTTGTTCCTTAGTGAAAAGGAATCTGAGCTAGTTTTCGTGTATGTACCTGTCTCTGCATGTAGCCCAGCAGTCTGTAAGAGTAATAATAACTTTATGTATTTTATTATTGATAAAACATTTTCTGGTATGGTAAGATTTATATATTTTTTCTCTATCATTTATAAAGGTCTTTTCAGGAAAGTCAGGCACAGCTATGTAAAGAAACCAGTGAAGGCACCACTCACAAAGTGTTTGAATGCATTATTTCCATAAATGCCCAAATCTTCAAGATTAAATGAAATTCAGGTAGTCCCAGTAGTGCTTTTCAGAAACAGGCAAAAAAAAAAAAAAGTACTTGAAGATGATCTATCATCCTTAAAGTTGACACTTTTAACAAGATCATTGCAACTTCATTTATATTTTTCTTCACATGTATATTCTACGTAATTATTGTTCACAGTTTCATCACTGCTTTGTCATCAGATTAAAACCTGACCTGGTTTTCTTTCTTTTTTGGCTTTTGCTTTAAAAAAGCATCAAAGGCCTGGTCTGAAGCTGGACTGCAACATCAGGGACTTGTCAACTAACTTAAGACTCAAATCAAATTTTCAATTACAACTGGGTAGCAATGGGGAAAACCAGAAAAGTTTTGGAAAGTTTCACTGGGAAAGACTTCTCATCTTCCAGATGGAATTTCTAGTAAGAACCAGTGAGATAATCACTCTGAAATAGTCTCATTTGAGCTGTGGGAGTTTCAGATTTGTGCTCCTGCTGTGCCTGTTCCAGGCCCTCCCACATCTTGCAGAAATAGACTAAGGATTGGAATATAAAATTGGCATCTGTTTTTCTAGGCAAGTTAAAATTTAACTAGTTATCAACTCAAATGCTCCTAAAAGAGATTGATAGAAAGCCTCTCGCTCCTTTTCCTCTGCAAAATGTTCTCTGTTTCACAGTAACTATTTCCCAAGTGCATTCCCAAGTTCATTATCCTGTGAAGAATTAGGTAAGGTTTTATTCTAAGACAAAAAGATGTTTGAAAAGGAAGTTAAGTGAACCCTATAATAAGGAACACAAATATCTGGTCAAACTAACAAAAAGCAGTTACCTGTTGGTCTAAATACTTAATTTCAAGGAGTTGTGCAAAGTCAGTACTAACATTACAATTGCTATCTAAAAATAAGTTACCATGCAACAACAAACTCCATAACCCATGGAGCCATACAATGAAAAAGCTTTAATTAGTCAGAAAGAAAACCCTCCTGAGGATATCTCTGAAAAATGAGCTGAAGGGATTTATAGTCCCTATGCAGCAACAGAGCTACCCCAAGGAAACTGAAGAACCCAGACTCTTCAGCTGACAGCTTTTCTACCCATCCATGGGCAGAATGTGAGGAAATGGACAGGCTGTTACAAAAGGCACTGTTCAGTAGAGGTTCATCTTGACAACGCATGATTTGGTTCTTGACAATGCTTCAGAAAAATCTGGTCTTAGTTGACAATGCTTCAGAAAAATCTGGTCTTAGTTATTCAGTAAAAGGCAGGCTGGCAAACCTTGGTTTGCTGGTTGAGGGTGTTAAGCCCCCTAACATGCTGCCTTTCCTCAGTGTGAGAAGTTTCTGATCCTGCAGAAGCAGCAGCAGGATGGAGCATGAGCCTATTGTACCACCCCCTGATGAGTTTTACAAGCAGTAGTTTTGCAAGCTCCTGCCTGGCTGGTCGCTTATGTGTGTGCATCCTCATGCACTTGTGCTGGTACAAGTGGTGAAACACAGAGTTAAACCACCCAGCGAGGCAAACAAAACCATTAAGAATGGCTGAACTTGGAACACAGTCAGAGTGCTTTTCTCCCTGGGCAGCAAGGCTGGCTGCACAGGGCCCAGCCTCACTGCTCAGGCTGACTCCCACACTGCTCGCTGCCCCCTCAGCTGCCATATGGGTGTCTATGCAAGTTGTGATCACAGAAGCCATCTCAGTCACACATACAAATATATCTCAGACCCCTCCAATGCGCATTTTAAAATTCTGCCCCATTTCAGGGACACAGTTCATCATCTGGCCCCAAAACAATTGTGCTGGCAACCCTGCTGGGGGAATTATGAGGTGGGCAAAAAGGCCAGGAATGGCACCTTTATCCAACCTGAGAAAGAATTTGGGATTACATGCTCAGGAAAGCTGCCACCTTGTAAAGCAGCAAGGGAGCTCAGACAAAATGCAATAACACTTATTTTTGGACATCTTTATGGAGAACATCAGGAAGTTTACCACACTTGACTCCCCTCCTGCAGGGCCTGTTCCAAGAAGGGGCTCGCTCCATGTCCTGTAGCACTGCCCCGATGTGTGCCAGAGTCTGCTATCAGCTCTTGACCAGAAAGGGAGTGCCTTTCTCCAAAATCTTGAAGCTCCATAGAACCCTGGTCTTCACTTGGTAACTTCCTCCAACCAGGTCAAAACCCAGGATATGTCCTTTTCCTCAGGCAGGCATGATTTTTCCAGAAGTATTTATGACTTAGAGGACTGACACAGGAACAGAATTTGGCCATAGGTACAAACCGGCACTGAGTATGTGTAGGATGGAAATTAGAAGAAAACTTCTGGTATTGAGACCAGCAAAGCGGGGGAATAAACGCATAACAGAATTAATAAAGGCAAAAATCTAATTATTCTTAAGTTAAAGCACAGTTATGAAAGGAATTATATGACAGCAGGGCCTCTGAGGTTTGTTTCTTCCTATGACACGACACTGCCATAACTGTTGGGAGTTGCTGCAAATTTGCTCCCCTTTGATGGGGAGAGAAAGAAGCTACGCTACACAATGCAAACTTGTGACTCTTCAAATTTGAAGCCAGAGCACGGAACTCTGCAGTTCACCTTCCAGCGTATGTGAAAGAACTAACTGCTTGTCTACCAACATAGTTCTTGGGTTTCATGGCTTTTCCAGTTGAAAGCCTGTACCTCGCATGACATATATCCACCGAGCACAGGCGCACGTAAGGACGGAAACAGCCTATTGGGCTAATCTCGGGTTGACCACTACAGCACCTGGCGACTCCCCCCCCCGCCGCCGCCTGCCGCTCTCCGCACCTCCGCGCTCGGTGCAGGGCGCGGCGAGGCGGTGGCTGCGGGACTCGAACCGGTGGTCGTCCCGCGCGGGCGGCGCAGGCGCAGTGCTGGCCGGGGCCGCGGCGGTCGGCGGGCGCGCAAGGGTCGCCGTGTCCCGCCTGTTGGCCCGGCCTCTCCGCAGGAATAGCGCGGGGGCAGCGCCGGTCGCGGGAGCGCGCAGGGGTTCGGGTGCGGTCTCCCCCGCAGCGGTGCCCGGAGCGCGACGCTGATGGGTGTGACGCGCGCGGCTGTGGCGCTCCCCCTGCGCCGGCGGGGAGGCGGCCCTGCGCCCTGACCGGGGCTGCGCCGGCTCCGCGCGGCGGGGACACGGGCTCCGCGGGCGGCTCGGCGCTCCGGGGGTGGCAGCGCCAGCGGTGCCCGGCGCGGAGGCGGTGGGGTGGATCGGTAGCGCCGGTGCGCGCTGCGCAGGGTACAGCACAGCGATGTAGGGGACATGCCCTGACGGGACGGCGAACGGACGGGTGCCGCCAACGAGGGGGAGCAGCGCCAGCGGAGCCTCCCGCGGGAGATTTCGGCAGCAGCCGGCGAGGCCCCCGGGCTCCGCCGCGATGGCTGGGCCCGGGCTCTGGAGGAGCATCAAGTCCCTGCTGCGGAGGAGCGAGGACCCCTTGTTCCTGAACGACTCCAGTGCCTTTGACTTCTCGGACGAGGCGGGGGACGAGGACTTCTCTCGGTTTAACAAGCTGCGGGTGGTGGTGTCGGACGATGCCTCTGAGGCGGCACCGGAGACGCCGGTGGCCGGGGCGCCCCTGGGCCTGCCCTCCGACGACGAGTCCCTGCTGGAGCGGGCCGGAGCCCGCACCGGCCGGCCGGCCCCCTGCGGCGGCTGCAGCAGCCGGCGAGAGCGCTCCAGGCAGAGGACGGTGAAGAAGCGGTTGACGCTCGCTGCCCTCCTCTACCTCCTCTTTATGACCGGGGAGCTCGTAGGTGAGTCGGGGGCTCTGTCGGCCGGATGGACCGCGCAGCCTGTCAGGCTTTCACAGCCCTGGCTTTCGGTAGTTATTAAGAGAAACGGTCTGTCATGTAGAGAGATCAAAGATTAGCTGCAAGTTCAGAGAGGGAGGAGGAACAAAGTCCACCTGTATTTTCCATGCAAGAAAAGAAGGAGGAATTTGCAGCTTCCCTCACCTGAATATCATCAGTCCCCCAGACGGCATAAATGGGATTTTTTTTTTGCATGTATAATGGCTTTTTAGTTCTTTGTGTAAGTTTTTCTTGTAAATTTGTAAGGTGTTACTAGCAAGGGAGAAGGAGCATTTTATCATAGACATTAAAAAAAAGATGAACAATTTCATCCTCAGTATTAACTACTG